GTTAAATATTTAGTTTGTTAACTAAATATTTAATTTGTAAGTTAAATATTTAGTTTATAAACTATGACATTTATAAATGTATGAATCATATGGTGAAAAACTGACTTTGATAAATAAATCAGTTATTTTTTTGTCTTATAAAAGGCTAAATAAAGCAAAAATATTGGTGGTAATTTTTGATTGTGTGACTTTACAAACAGCAAAAGGAAAAAAAATTATACAATTTTTTTCCTTTTGATTTTTTACCTGGATTACTGAGATGCATCAGGACATTTACAAACCCCATTTTTCAGGCACTAAATAAGAGTTAGTCTAGATTTTAAAGCACATCAACACGCCCCGTCTCACCTAGCATCCTCAGCCGTCCGATCTTGTCCATGAGGAGCGCAGACACAATGTTGCCTGGTAACACAGCCAGGGTGCCCAGGAAACTGACAAAGTAGACCATGTAGGCATTATTTTCATCACTGATGTCACTGAGCAGGCAGCCCTCTTTGTTGTGTAGGAAGGTGCTGTTGATGAGCTTACAGTTGATCAGTCGGTACTTAAAAAGATCTGAGAGAAGGAGTAGAACAAGGAGAAACATAAATCTGCTTCACAGGTCAAAATGAACCAAAGATTTTTTTATTCATGATGTCACAACAGGAACACAAAAAAGTGAGTTTGTGTTTCCTACCGGTGTTGTAGAAGAGGGTGGCGATGAAGGTGCAGTTCTTGAAGAAGGTGCTGCTGGAGGTAATATCCTCAAAATAACATTCCTCAAACAGTGAATCCTCAAACACCATCGATTTCATTTTCATGTTCATGAACCTGCAAATCAAAAAGACAAAGAGATTTAAATGAGTTGTTAAACATCAGGGCTCCATGAGGTTTAAAAAACAGCTTTAAAGTTCATTTATAAATCATAAAATCATGAAGCATTTCTGCTTTGTAAAGAAATTCAGACCCACTTGTCGTTGAAGTACTGGCCCTGACGGTGGACCTGGTTCTCCAGTGTGAAGTTAAAGGTGACGTGTTCCACTCTCTCCTTGACAAAAACCTTGGTGCGTGAGGCGTACTCCTGCTTCTGCAGGTACTTGATCATGTCCGGGAACCACACGGTCAGGCCGTAGTAGCTTCAAACAGAAGAAGACGAGGGTCAAAGACGTTGTTGTGGACAAGAAGAATTTTAATAGATCATTTAGGCGTTTATGGGGGCATTTCTATGAAGCCAGTAAGAGGACATATGGAAAATATGTCAATAAAATGATAAGGACTATTGCAAGATCCTGCAAAGGTTTCTCAGGATCTTGCAAAGATTTCTCAGGATCCTGCAAAGATTTCTCAGGATCCTGAAAAGGTTTCTCAGGATCCTGAAAAGGTTTCTAAGGATCCTGCAAAGGTTTCTCAGGATCCTGCAAAGGTTTCTAAGGATCCTGCAAAGGTTTCTAAGGATCCTGCAAAGGTTTCTCAGGATCCTGCAAAGGTTTCTCAGGATCCTGCAAAGGTTTCTCAGGATCCTGCAAAGGTCACTCAGGATCCCTCAAAGGTTTCTCAGGATCCCTCAAAGGTTTCTCAGGATCCTGCAAAGGTTTCTCGGGATCCTGCAAAGGTTTCTCAGGATCCTGCAAAGGTCTCTCAGGATCCCTCAAAGGTTTCTCAGGATCCCTCAAAGGTTTCTCATGATCCTGCAAAGGTCTCTCATGATCCTGCAAAGGTCTCTCATGATCCTGCAAAGGTTTCTCGGGATCCTACAAAGGTCTCTCATGATCCTGCAAAGGTCTCTCATGATCCTGAAAAGGTTTCTCAGATCCTGCAAAGGTCTCTCATGATCCTGCAAAGGTTTCTCAGGATCCCTCAAAGGTTTCTCAGGATCCTGCAAAGGTTTCTCAGGATCCTGAAAAGGTCTCTCAGGATCCTGTAAAGGTTTCTCAGGATCCTGAAAAGATTTCTCAGAATCCTGAAAAAGGTTTCTCGAGATCCTGAAAAGGTTTCTCAGGATCCTGCAAAGGTTCCTCAGGATCCCTCAAAGGTTTCTCATGATTTTGCAAAAGTTTCTCAGAGTCCTGCAAAAGTTTCTCAGGATCCTGAAAAGGTTTCTTGGGATCCTGAAAAGGTTTCTCAGGATCCTGGAAAGGTTTCTCAGGATCCTGAAAAGGTCTCTCAGGATCCTGAAAAGGTCTCTCAGGATCCTGTAAAGGTTTCTCAGGATC